AAGAATTTTTTTTTCTCTTTTTATTGTAATTATTGAAGAGAGGAATATGCACTATTTGTATGAATGTCTGCCTTTAGAAACTCAGAAGTTATGTGTCAAGAGGAGGAAAAAAGTTAAGAATGAGAAAGTCTAGTTTCATTCTAAAATTTAGACTGATACTTGATGACAATGAAAGGAGCAAGCAAAGCAAATCCACCCAAAAAAAACCTTACCAGAGTACACTTAGAAAAGTTTGCTTAAAGCAAAATAATATTTTCACTCTTTTTTGTTGGAGTATTAGACTGAAAGGGGACCATAAGCAGAGAGAAGGTAAAGCACTTAAAATATTTTRTGATTAAAGTTTCATAAAATGCTTTAACAGAATTTTTGCTTGATACAGGAAAAAGATTTGGCTCTTGTCATTCCTAAAAATTACTTCTTCAGAAGTAGTGATGGTTATCTGGAAGATAACTTTGAAGACAGAGAAATTGCTGTGAAAAGGATTTTTATAAGCATCCATCTACGCTTTTCTTTTTATCTGTCAGGGAGTATATATTTAGATGTGTATCTGAGCACATATTTAGAAGGTGTTCCACTCCATATATTGGTGGTGATTGGTGGTTGAGGATGAGCCATCATTAGCATTCTTGTTAAACGTCATTTTCAGGATTACCAGTTCTYTCCAGTGATGGAGGTCTCACCACTAAATAACCAGGGTACTTCACCGACACACATCAGTGTCTTTGTTTAACAAAGTTTCAGCTTTCTTCCCCCTTGCTGTGCTGGGATGAAGAAAATAAGGCAAAATGCAAATGTCAGTGACAAAACTAGCTTAGCTAGAAGGATCAGGTATTGCAGATCTAAACAGCAGTGATTTATAACRAGCAGAATTGTAACTGGAGTCTTTCTGAAGCAAGGCAAAGATGACCAAAGTTTAAGTGACMAAAGTCACTTTAGAAAGTAGGTGAAATATTAAGTAGCTTTTCAGAAAAATGWTACCATTATATTTGTCACAATATGTATATATAGGAATAGGGAAGGGGAATGTTTATTGTCCCTTGGATTTCTACAACATTCAGTGAAGAGACTTCCTTAATGCAAAAAACTGTTTGCTGAGATTGTCCAGAGTCTCCATTTCACAGCTTGTCTGGGAAGACTGGAGTCTGGGAGTTCCCCTTCCTTTTGTGGGCTTCAGATCTCTCCTCTGAGAGCTTGAGAAGTCCAAGATGGCTTGAGATGTGTGTGTGCCCCATTCAAAGAATCTTGACACTAAAGATTACAAAAATTGTCCTTTATTATCCTAAGAACCCATCTCTATGAGTCGACTTAAAAAAAGAATTTTCCATGGGTTTGACAGTCTGTCCTGGGGTAGACTATACTGGACTTGATAAATGCTAAGTGTCACTGTTGATGAAAAGATGGGRGGAATAATTTTAAGTATTTACTTGGTAAGTGTCTATTGAAAGAGAAACTTGGACATGAAATTTCTTGGACAAGAAAGCTTCTCTTTACGTTTTGAAATAGTTGTAAAAATGAATGTCTGGTCCTTGAAGTGCAGACAACATAGCGTTGCTCATTATTCATTACGATCTGACTTCACACAGAATATTAGTGGTAAATGATGACCTGGGCTTGTGTATATCCTACTAGAAGGAGTTTCATTTTGTCCTGCTGAAGTCAGCAAAGAGCCTTGTTAAATATGTGCAATTACATATATCTCTTGGTAGTCATGAGTTTATATTTGCTGAAGTTTTTTATCTCTGTTAAATAGTTTTGTTTCAAATTATTTACAGTTTTAAAAGGCATTTTTGCACTAGCATTTACCATGTCAAACTAACTGTAAACACGATTTATATGGAAGGAGTTTATTTACTGCTTTTTCTGTCTGTACAACTACTATGGTAGTAAACTTTGAGGATTTTTCTGAGCTCATGTTGTGGTAAAGCTAGATATTTTATTACAAGTCCAGCGGTAATTTAGAGTCTTTGCTATAAAAACAGGAAGCTGTAAAAATTAAAAAAATAAATTTACAGTTGAGCAAGAGGTGTTATGACAGATTTTCCAGAGGAGCTCTTTTAGATGCAAGTCCAGTGTCTGATTTGAGATGTGGAGTGACTTTCTACTCAGTCTTTTCATCACAGTTCACAGACACTCATTATTCTCTCTCTCGCTCACTCCTGCTCCCTTGAGCCACCTGTTTACAGAGCCACTCTTCTGCCAGGGRTTGCAATTTGTCTTAGGAAGGCTCATTATCGGTACTAACCTCGGTGTTCTGAGGTGAGGATTTGTGTAGCAAGCACCAGAGAGGGGACCTACATATGGTGTCTGTAATTTCATTGTAGTAAAGTGCAGAGTTGGCTGTCTGTAAGCAAAACTTCTCTCTGGTGAACAGAAGAAAAAAAAATCAGAGCTATGAATTTACCCAGTGCAATGAATTTACCTATTGACTTCTTCAAGGAGTTGGATGCCTTCCATWTGACCATGACAGAACTGCAGTCAAGATCTTTGTGTCTGAAAGTAAATGTTCCTCTACAAAGGATTACTTTAGTTCCTCCATGGTATGCAAAGGACTGGGAATTCATAATAAAAAGCCAAGCATTTGAGGAGCCTTGGGTTGTTTAGAATGATGCTTTTGTTGTTGTTTTGGCAGAGAGAGAGAATTCAGAAAAGTGAACAGAGATCAGAAACTGAAGTAAATCTTCGCCCAGACAAACTTTTGTTGTTTTCTAACTCCTACTCAGTAATATTATGATGTATCTAATGAGATTAAAATATGAGAAAGGGTTATTAAAATKATTCACAGTACTCTCACATAGCTTGGAAGAGTCTTTTGTAGGCTTTTCATCTTAAAAGTTAGGCGATCAGGTAATATGGATTAGCTGAGAGATTTGTCTGATGAATTATATTTGCAGTATATATCCATGAACCATAGAGACAAAATATTGAACTGTTGAAATATCCTATTTTTTAGTCCTTGGGCTTTGAGTTTTATTTATTCAATACTTAATGGAATTAAGGAGTATTTTTGTCATGGCCTTTATGATGCCCTGTTGTAGCTGAACTAAATCAGAATGAGAACCATGATTCTGACAGCTGCTGCAGGAGGTTYGCTTTCTGCTGCAGTCTGTTAGGCTGCAAATCCCACATCATGGTCCTCCTAGCACCAGGTTTAGTTGAGTGAAATTATGTGGCCAGAGGATCTTTGATAGCCTTGTCTCCTAAGATGCTGCTTATGTGGTTTAACTGGTGAGTGCAGTATCTTTGATTATGCATGATATTAGCTGGGTCATGGAAGTTGTATGCCTTATTCATGAATAGGAGAGTAAAGAATTGTTACCAAGTGACAGAATGGAAGATGTTGGAGAGCACCTGGTCCAATCCATCTATTCAAAGCAGAATCAGCTGGAACAGATTACTCAGGACCACTGGAAGAGTGTGGCTCTATCTTTACTCCTCCCAGCAGATACTTAAGAACAGTGATAAGATCCACCCTAAGCCTTCTCCAGGCTAAACAACTCCARCTCACTSAGCTGCTCCCTGTATTGAAGATGTTCCAGTCCTMATGAMTAATCTTTATGGATCATCAGTGGAATTGCTGCAGTCCTTATCTTTCTCACACTAGGGAGCCTGGAGTGGCATCCATAATTCCAGATGTGGCCTTGGAAGCACTGAGCAGTGTGGAAGGATCACTTCCCTAGACCCACTCTCAAGAATGAATTAATTCGTAAAGTAATCTTTGCAAAACTCCTCATCACTGTTAGCAAACAATTATTCTTATTTATGGGATGTGCATTATTTATGCAGACATGTAAATTAAATATTTACAATTCTTCACTTCTTGTCTGTTTCCCAGACAAACATTGTTAACCCTTTTTTACCCATTTTGAACAGCTGTACATTTTTTTTGGCTTTGTGACTAAGTTTCGGATTCTTGCATGTTTTCTGCACAGCTTGGTTAGTTAGCCTCTGTCATTGAATGTCTGCTGTAAGCAAGAGTTAATAAGGAAAAAGTTGCAGGATTCTGAGTATTTATGTTTAAGAAAGCAGTTTTTAGCATAAGGAGTGGTTTGGTTTATTTATCTCTTGGGAAATATACTTTTGCTTTTCATGGACTAGGAGAAAACTTGTGTAATGTCTTTCCTCATTCTTGGTAAAAAGAAAAATCACAAAGAGGGTCTGAGGATGCTGTCCATTTGGRAATGTTTCTAGAACTGAATGTGCTTTGTGAAATTTTGAAGTCAGAATTTATGTAGTCRGATTTGAACCACCAAAATAAGTGTTTCAAGTACATAGGCAGTAACAGTTACAAAAATAGCTGAAGGTTGTACTAAACATGTAAAAGTTTAAGAAGACTTTTAGGAGCCTAGCTTTAAAAGTCCACTTTGCAAACAAAAATGTATCTCTTGGTTTTCAAAAGTTGTAACTGTGCATATGTAACAAAAATTTTCACTATCAGGAATCAGTAAAATTGTGAAATGCTTCTGTTTCCAGGTGTGTTATTGGAATTGGATGGTGTGGTTTCGAAGGAAGACTAAATAACTTTAGTTATTAAAATATCATTAAAAATATCATAAGGAAACTGCAAACTTCATTTTGCATAAGTGGGCACTTGTTCATTGAACCATGTGGTGAAAGTGTTCTTAATTGTGACAGAAAAAGCAAAAGCTTTTTCTGATGTAGCCATGCAAAGAGAGTTGCTTTATGAAATAACCTTCGTCTCATCCAGTTTTTATTGTATTTTTATTTGAAGTTGCTAAATTTTTTCTCCCACCCCTTGAAAATAAGTGTTATTTTCCAACAGAATTGGAGTTCAGAAGTAGAGGTGCCTGCTCTCTTCTGCCACCGTGGTGCTACATGTTTCCTTTTGATCTCCTACTTACTAGAAACTCTCTCCTTCTTTTGTCCCAGTATTTTTTCAGTGGAAAAAAAAGGAAATGGTAGACTTGAAGCTCAGGAATTTGCCATGAGAAATGCTGGATACCCTCTAAGATGCATAACCCCTGTGTTTGTAATCACTGCAGTGCTGCATATGATGCTGTCCTTGACAGAAACGTGGCCATTAAGAAGCTCAGCAGACCATTTCAGAACCAAACTCATGCCAAGAGAGCTTACAGGGAGCTGGTCCTCATGAAGTGTGTGAATCATAAAAATGTAAGTTTTCAGYAGGAGAAATGGTACGTGCATTGCTTTGTTAGGATGAAAATTGTTTTATTKGGTTCCTTTTTAAAATGAGAGAAATTAGAAGTAAATTGTGCTCAAGGGCTACACTCTGGTACTATATGCCCACAGGAGAGTCTGAGGGTATTCATTCTATGCTGCAGCAAGAGTTATTCCAGGTCTATATGTTAATTTTAACAGTTATTTGTTAGAACAATCTCCCTGACACTGTATAAACTTGCTCTTTTTTTAGTGAAATACATAGGATTGCCACATTGCATTGTCAAGGGATGTCCCACGGATTTAATTTTCYTTCAATTCCCTGATTTCCTGCTGCCATATCTGTGTGCCACTTCATTTTCATTGGAACGAATTTTTCAGTTTGCAGTGTGTACTCTTCCCTGAGATCTTGCAATGATTCTTTCTCCTTATGCAAAATGTAAATGARCTTAAAAAATGTGATGTAAGATGATATTTTACACTTGCTCTTAATCACAAATTCCCACAGAAAGGGGAAGGACTGATCCTAAAATGGCAAATGGCAGGACTTGGTACTACAGTGTCCTCTGCCTCACCTCTGAGCAGTGATTTATCCTTACATTCCCACTGTGTTGATCAGAACTGTTCCTGTCTCTTCCCTGTTGGCTTGATGGAAGCTATGTTCAGCCAGACCAGTGCATGGGGACTTGAAAATGCAGAGATGAGCAAGGAGTTCTCCCTGTACGCAGGAGAATGATGCATTCTCACTGTAGTGTTTCAGTGGATTGGAAAGAGCAGAGGGCAGAAGGAGCAACACTAATTTTAAACACATAATTTTAAACCTGCTGCATGACAGCTGCTAACAGCATCATATTGCAGGTAAGATCCAGTCAGAGTATATGGAGTAGGGAGTTGAACCATTTCTGTTAAAAAACCTAAAGAGCTGATGGAAGTGAGAAGGGACACATTCAGATGTTGCCTTTATGGCAGCAGTGCTGATTTCATCTACCTCTGTTACCCCTGCACGGAGGAAAAGCATGGGAAATCCAGATCTGTGAGGTCATGTTGTTCCCTCTCTTCTGTTCAACACATTCTTACCAGTGTCTTTCAACAGCCCAGCCCACTTAAACAAACAAAAATGCCAACAAGTGAAAGGAAAAAAGGAGTTGCAGTATGCAAGATGTCTTTGYTCAGGGTGTCTCTTCTTTTACTGAAAAGTGGTACCTCTCGTGATGGAATTTGTGCCAGCCAGCATGTGTGTGTATTTGCCCTCAAAGGAATTGAGGCCATGTCAGAGAGAATGTAGGACTACTGTTTAATAGGATGGTCCTTGATTATTTGTCCCCTCAGATTAGCATTCCTCATAAATAAGAAAATTCTGGCTGTAGCACAAGGACTGCTTTGCTTGATTGAGCTGAAGTTGATGTTTTGACCTCCAACTTCAAAATTGAGAGGAGTGTCTCACCCTTAGCACTTGGACTTGTCACGGGTTATCCTTCTTCCAGACCGTTTCAAGTGTRCCTACAAGAAATCTGTGGGATTTATTTTGAATGTTGTCAATTTTGTACTGATTCATAACAAGTGTTAATATAAATTGAGCAGTGAAAAAACAGTTTGTCCTTTAATACACTTCAAAATGGGTTCAACTGATTATGTATATCGCTTCTCTTTATTCTTTTGTCTTACTTTGCCTTTCAGATTATCAGTTTATTAAATGTCTTCACACCACAGAAATCTCTGGAGGAGTTCCAGGATGTGTAAGTAACACGGGCGGTAATTAAGCTGAAGCYTTAGGGATCTGTGGGGCTTTATGGTGTACCTTGAATGCAGTAACTCAGCAAAATACAAAGGTTATAATCCTTTCTAAAAAAGATCATGTGAGTCTAGTGGGTAGAAAAATATTCTGAATTCCCATATTGGGAGCTCTTGACAATTGAAGGTGAAAACTATCAGGTTTCATATTTGTTGTGATCTGACCTTTGACTGAGTAAAGATATTTGCCTGGGGAACAAAGGGTAGGTGTCAAAGACAACCAGCATCTCTGTTTGAACCTTGCCTTATTGCACAACCACTACTGTGCCTACTACAAACCTGATGTGAATGAAATTTTAAGCATTCTGTGTTTTATGTGGTTGTTCTCATTTTATCTTCCTGTCTCTCCCGTTTTCTGTATGTGTTGCATGGAAACGTGTTTCTTTTCTGTAGTCTGATACTAGTAGAAACCAATTAGTTGTAAAAAGAATTTTGTGAAGTCATGCAATCTGAGGAGGATTTTTGGAGGCATTTTGTGTGGGAATGCATATTTTACCYTTTCAGACACCTCTGTTTATCTCAGATTCCTACGTGTACTGTGGTAGCCATCCTTGCRATAGTCGAAGGCTGAGCAGTTACATAATTTTCTGTTTGTGGGTCTTTTGGGTTTTGCATATTTCAGTGTTGTCCTACCTGATTGTCCATGTAGGGTTTAGTCTCTGTCATGGGGAATGCATGAAAGAAAGGGCAAATAATCCACCAGTTTGCCTGGGATGCTAAAAGAATGGTGTCTCTGCAGTGAGATACAAACGTCACCATGGTGCTGTTGTTAGTGGGCCCAGTCTCCAGCTGTGTTAYTCCTAGTCATCAGGAATAAAGTGAATTTTGAAGCAAGAAAATGCATCATTACGTATTTGAAATGATGCTGTGATTTGTCTTTGACACAGAAAATAACCCTGTGACTTTACTTTTCCATTCAGCTACCTGGTAATGGAGTTAATGGATGCCAATCTGTGCCAGGTCATTCAGATGGAGCTAGACCATGAGCGAATGTCTTACCTACTTTACCAAATGCTCTGTGGAATCAAGCATCTTCACTCCGCAGGAATTATTCACAGGGTAAGGGCCCTTTGGTTTAAAACTTAAGGTGGYAAATGAAATTATCATGAACATTTCAAATACCATTCGACCCTCTTGTGTGCTGTACATCAAACCCCTGTCTCCCAGTACAGTGAATATAAATGTTAAAGCCACAGTCAGAGGTCAGGGGACATAGAATTGGCATTTGCCATAATTTACATATGCTGAGATAAATTGAAAGACTACTGAGTCCATATTGAATGCATCCTCTCATTTTGCTTTTCCACATCAGCACYGTGCCTGGTAAGGATGTGGTACGTGGCTGTGGCTGAGTGACAGYTGATAGCAGAAGGAATCAGTTTGTATCACTGTCAGCACAACAGAATTCTCAATGGATTGAAAATACCCTGAGTTAACTTCTTTATCAAAAAGTTCTTTTACTAATTTGGGATTTCTACATGAAGAAAAAAATCAAAATATGTTTCCCTAAAGAAAAGAAAGGCTCATAAAATTGGTTATAAAGTGAATGTTGCTCTACAAAGATTTCCTTTCTTGACATGTCATGTTTAGCAAATGGTGATAGATTTGGCTTTCAGGTTTCAGCAAACCCAGCAAAGAATGAGTTGAATTCTTATAAATGAAGCATTAAGGTATCTCCACAGTTATAGTTGGAATGTCTCCATCAGGGTCACAGAATTAAAAGAAAATAATCTAATCAAATCTGTACTCTGATACTAATCCTAGTTTCTTGATCTGCTAAATGCAATTAATTGAAAGCCAGCAGGCTCTGGCTATCTGGGTAAAGCCCCACAGTATGGTAGACCAACTTCCAGAACAGTTTTTTTAGACAAATGATAGCAAGGTTTTGCTGTATARTTGTAAGTATTTCTGTAATAAAAGGGTCAGAAGAGTGAAAGAGTATTTGAAGGGTGACCTAAGGTATCTGGTATCTATAAATCCAGCTGTGCCTGGCTTTGTAAAGGACAGTCACATGTGTCTTTTCATTATCTTTTGCAGGATTTAAAACCAAGTAATATTGTAGTAAAATCTGACTGCACGTTGAAGATTCTGGATTTTGGACTGGCCAGGACTGCAGGCACTAGCTTCATGATGACCCCMTACGTGGTGACACGTTACTACAGAGCACCGGAGGTCATCCTGGGAATGGGCTACAAGGAGAAYGGTAGGGCTGCAGCCACTTTGCACGGTGTGACCTCAAGGGCAAGGTCTGCTTCCACCACTGTAAGGGAGACTTGAAGGAGGGAGAGGAAACATAATGGGGAATGACATCTTGAATTAGAGCAGTTCCTCATTGTTGTGAGCTGCAGCTACTGTGTGTATTTGGGAATTTATCCTTGTGGGGTTGCAGAATAATATGAAACTTGTTCTTAGTTATGGTTGAAGTTAACAACTACAGTTAGGTCATTTTGACCAGAATATCTTTGTCTTCTGTGGCTGTGAAACAATGCGGGAATTGCTGAACGAGTGATGTCTGGATCKCTGAATTGTTTGAGGAAACAAGAAGTACAAGCTGAAATAGCAAGTCCTAGCCCTTCCAGAATTTCTCTAAATCCAGAGCTAGATCTGAATTTCAGGAAYTAATTCCTCTTCATAACAGATTTAACAAAGTCCCAGGTTTTGCTGACAGATTCCATGTCCCCAAGATCTAGCTACCAATTTCGCAGTTTGATTTTTTTTTTTTTAATGGAAGGTGGGGGTGCTTGCTATAGACAAGTGGGTAAAGAAGAGCTCAAACTTTGCAGAAGATGAAGGGAAAACTTTTTAAATTGTTCTCATTTTGTAACAAAACTGAGAATTGCATCTGAGTGCCAGGTAGACCAGGCAGGAAAGGAGAGAATATCCTGTGACTCAGATTCTGCTGTCAAAGAAACCACTTRTCTTTTTGACAAGACTTTTTGATGGCAAATACGGCAAAAGTCAAGACCAGGAAATTATTAAAAAGTGTCCTACTTAATTTGTATTGAGGAGGTTAKCTAACTTGCAGGAAAACTTTTACTAATAGCCAACTGCATACTGTAAAGGGCAGTGAAAYGGATTTTGGGAGCCAATTCCATTACTTCAGCACTACTAAAAGCATAATCACACAGCCTCTTCTGAAATGAGCAAGTTCCTGTATGAATTATTTGCAATGTTTATGAATTTAAGGTATAAATTTTAATACAAAAGTCTAAAAAGTGTAGAATTATTAAGCAGAGTCTAAGCATAGATAATAATTTCTGAAAAAAAGGAGTAATATTCCTTCAAGTATTTTGTTTCAATTTTTTGCTGAGTGCCATTAGAAATTTGAGCTAGCATGCTTTAGATAGCTCCTTAGTCAATATCCAGAATTCCTTCTCTTGTCAARTGAATTCTTTTGTTGATTTTTTTCCCCCTCTACACATTTAGTAGATGATTACCATTATTATTGTTGTTATAGTCCATGAAAGAACAGAGAACGTTTGCTTTTTGCATGATTAAAACTGCACCAAGAAAAGGTCAGACACACTTTTGTGATAAAGTACACAGCTGGGAAGGTTCTAATGTTTGCCACATCCAAAGGTCCTGATCAAATGCCCACTGAAGTTAACATAGAAACTTCCTTTGACTTTCCTGGGCAATGAATCTGGCTTAAGATGAATGATCTTGTCTTACTTGGACCTAGCAAAATAAAGAGAGGAAGGAAACAAAATATTTGCAAGTGAAGGTCAGCAGTTGGAGGAGCCTCTCTGCTTGGAGGCWCTGATCCAGCTCCAAGGAAGTCAACAGAAAGGGTTGTTCTTTGYTTCCCTGCTCTGGCCTATGCTGCCACATTACTGAAACTCCCGTATTTTTTTTTTCCCACTGACTATGTAAACTGCCTGTACAAAGACTGTTCACTGCTTTCATTTTCTTTCTGCACTTGGTTGGCTAAAGATGCATAATTATCACCAGTTTGCTGCACTTCTATGGAAGGTCCCAAAACTGTCACTATGAAGAAAACTCTGCCACTGCCTCAGGCATGCTTTTGCTGTCCCATGCCCCTGATACCTGTACCCTCCTTTTCCCAATTGGAACATTTCACCTTTATTTTGTTTTTCCAAGAAATGAGTTGTTTGTTTGTTTCTTTGGGTTTGTTTTGGATTATTTTTGAAGGTTAAGAAAGGGGAAGAAAAGGAGGTGAAATCTGGTTGTGTAGGTCAAACATGCCCAGAAAATGAGGATTTCAAGCTCAGAAACAACACAGACTTTTAGAGGATTGTAAAGCAGTTTTTTCCTCTTCACATGGAGTACAGGGTTGGTTGTTTTTTTCTTTTTTTTTTTTCTGTGTGTACTGTGTCACTATCTATCCAGCCTTTTTTCTTGTAAGACTTATAGGTAAAAAAACTATCCAAGTCAAGCAGATAAAATAACTATGCATATTGCATCTAAAACCTGAAGGCAGAATTGAGAATAGGAAATGCTCTTAGTCTTGTTGACCCTGTGGACAAGCTTTCATTTTAGCATTTCTGTTTTGTACCTACACAGTACAAAACAGAGTCCACTCAGATCACGCTCTCCAGGTGTGTAGGTATAGACAGATAGACATAGATAGGTACCTATAGATAGGCCATAGGTACAGATCCTGAAAGAGGAGTTTTAAATAACCCTTAAGGGTGCWGTTTATGGCCTTTACTTGTGGGAGCAGTTCCATTTAGAGCCTCTTGTCAACTGCAGAGAGACTCAGTGCTGCAGGACAAAGCTTAGAAACTCAGCAAGTAGGATTTATTCCAGATTATCATTATCTGGTCGGATGTTTTTTTTTCTGAAAAAAAAAATAAAAATAAAGGGAGTTGTTTTTTAACCATGAATTCAGTGTATACCATGTGTCTGTGCAGTTGTTACTTACTCTTTACTTGCTAGCTCTGGACCTTTACCCAAAATGTTGATTTTATACTTTTTCCACTGTTGTTACTAACTGCTGTTGRGCCGACTGACACAGCTTTTATTTATTTAGCTACGTATTTTAGCTTTTGTTGAGACACGAAAAAGAAACCCAACAAAACCACAAAACAAACTGTACTGTTCTGATCAACCTGCTCTTTTTCCCCTCCTTTAGGAGTGAAATGTCGTAGTTAACTTTGCTTTTTTTTCCTCCTTCTTCACTTCCCTGTCTCTGCTGTTCTAGTGGATATATGGTCTGTGGGATGCATTATGGGAGAAATGGTTCGCCACAAAATCCTCTTTCCAGGAAGGGACTGTATCCTTGTGCCATTTGCTGCAGCTTCACCTATTATTTGTTCCTCTCCTCCACCCCATCCCTTTTACCATAAAATGACTATACCAGGACTGTAAAGATAGAAGCAAAAAGTTGAATCCCAGAGGTATGGCTAAATGAAAATAGCACACCATTGATATGCACAAAATTGAAAATGAAAAACAGATGCACAGAATTATTTCAGTCAATTTAGTTACTTTAAAAACTGTAATCTTTCCATTTTAAATAGTATTTATGTCATGCAAATAAGCAATATAGAAAACAAGCATTATGATGGCAAATTGGATAGCTTTATTTATTATTCTTCAAAGGAAAAATAAGAAAAAAAGAAAAGAGTTCTAACTTGGCCCATCTCATTCCTGTAAATCTGTTTTTCTGATTTTATGTTTTGGAAATATTGACTTCATAACATTTGTGGTGACATCATAATCTTTTGCTTGCTAATGCATCATGGTTTTGGATTCATCTTGATGCTGTATGGGCTCTGTGTTGAGTCTATACAACATTTTTTTTTCTTTAAAACAAAATGAAGAATTTGACTCACCCAGTTTAAGGCAACCGTTTTATCTGCTGTGGTTTCCAAATTGGCCTGAAATCAGATTCTATTGATTTAAAAATGGACTTCCCTTTACTTGCATGAGGTCTGTGTCGTCAACTAAACTGTATTTCCCTCCCCATCTTGTTCTTCTTGTCTTGGGTGATATTATTTTTACCCCTTCCAAGGTGGTGAAAGCAATATTAGAAAATGAAAACAAAAGAGGAGGTGTCTGCTTARCCTCCTGTTTATCACAGGCTGAGCCAGGCAACCTGCCCATGATGGTTTGGAAATRTAAGTAGTGTGCATTTTGCCCATCAGAATAAAACGAGGCAACGTAACATGCCTTCACTTTCAGAAACAAAAAGGCACATTATTTTCAGCCAGTTGGCAGAAAGGCACCACAAAAATCTGGCATCAGCAGCCACTGGCAKTTGGTGTGAAGAAAACCCAGCTTTCACAGACATGTGGCCATGGAAGCAATTATTTTTTTGCTGACTCTTGAGTAATTCCTGTCACGTTTGTCAGAGTTGGGTCCTGCCTGTCCTGTTTTCACAGCTCTGTCAACTTCCTCTGAAAGCTGAGTTCTGCTTGGTGGCCCAGTGAAGATGCAGTTTCAGTTCAGTAGCAGGGAGATGGAGGGACAGCGGGYACCTCCTGTTTGCTGAGGGGGAGGCAGCAGCCCTGTACTGAGTTCCAGTCTTAAAGCAAGAGAGACAGGAAAGTTATTGGATGCAAAATATGGCAAGGAAGTAAAAACAGTGATTTTATTTTTTTTTTGTATTAGTGGGTAGCTTTCAGATGTCACTCTAAAGGTGCTGAGCTGCCTCTGCAGCATGAGGAACAGGGTGCACACCCTCTGTTGTAACCTAAGTGCAGAGCAGCTCCCAGCATTGCCAAAACCTGTCATTCAGTGCGATTGTTATGCTGTGTTTCAGTGGCAACACCACCTCAGAAACACCATCATAACTCTTCCTCCAAAAAATACACTCTTCTCCTCTTAAAAAAAAAAAAATAAGAAAAACTAAATTGTCTGTAATACACTTGAGGTTCAGCTGTAAAAAYTGAGGATATTTCCATTTAATCTTTTCAGAGAAATAAACAACTAGAATTCATACAAAGAATGGTTTCCGGGTAAAAGCATAGTAGTGTGGTTAATGGGTTGCTCTCCTTTTCCAACAACAAATTAAGAGATAGGTTCTTCTGCCCATGTCTAGAAAAAAAAAATTAATCTATGTAATTTAAACAATGTAGCTTTTAAAAGAATCATTCAAACATGAGATTTACTTTGTTTCTGTCTGGCTGTGAAAACAGTATCTTATGACAGCATTGTATTCAGGGAGAGCTGTAAAATRTTTTTAAAATACCTTTTAACATTTCAGTATCAGTTTAAAATAACAACTGAATTTTTGAACAAATGCAGCAAACGTTGTGTAAATTGTGGGATAGTCCTACTTTTTAAATCATTGGAAATCCCATATCCTGAAATAGAATGTATGTGAGTCAGGTCACAATTATTGTCATGCTTTAATAGTCAGTTAATTCAGGTGAGTGGAAAGTTAAAAAAAAAATTAAAAAAGAAACAAGAAAAAAAGGAAAAAAAATTAAGGGAAAAGAAAAAAAAAAAAATCTGTACATTCATTTCCAAGTGAGTACTCATTTGTTGACCAGTTTGACCCCATGGATGAGTTGTGTTGGAAAGACTGGTTTGTGTATGGGTTCATCTGATTTTCCATCCCTACCATCTGCAAATCTAGTTTCCCTCCCAGGTGCAGGAAGAGCTGAAGAAGGATTTGTGCAGCTGCAGGTAAACTTCACAGAAGGACATTACATAATTCCCTTGGGCTACTTAAGGCTTTCCAGCAGAGAGTTTTCTAGCTGAAAGAGGCAAGTCTGTATAGAAATGAAAAAAATCACTTTAATCATTCAGAAGACTGTCTACTGCATGCATTTTGTATCAATATAAGCATACTCATTTCTAGTCTGGAGTAGGAACATTTGTATATGGCACAGTATACATCAAAGGAAAAATTCAATGCTGCTGCCAAGTTTTATGGAAAGAAAATATTTTAAAAGGTAATTTCACCTAAACCATCCCACTGAATTACCACTGCACTCAGGTGCTGCTGACTTGAAATTTCATTTTTAAAGTCTTCATGAAAATTAAAACATGGGGGAGATTAATTTCAAAACATCTCATCTATGTAMATAAGAAACTCTCTCTAAGTTGCTCTCCAATGTCCTGGAGAGTACCAGGTAGGAATTGCCTGGTAGGTACCTTCGATCCTTGTTGTTCAGYTAAAGCAGACATTTAAAAATATTGTCAGGGGACTTTCTTGTCAGAAATCAGACCCTCTTGAGAAGAAATTCACCTTTCAATCCATTCCCAGGTATATTTTTAGACCAAAATAGTCCTGGCAAGTTCCCATAAGCTTTTAGARTCCACTTCTGAGTTTCTTGTTCGGTGTTTCTTTGATGTTTATTCCACTTTTGTAAAGAAAGAATGTGAGCAACTAAAAACTTCCTGAACTCTTGGATGCCATTGGAAATATGGTAGAGAACCCTGGGCTTCCCCCAAAGCTTGTTCAGCTCTCGGTAATAACATCTTCAAAATCTCATAAGATTTCAATTTAAGGATTGGAAATGAATTTCTGGTTTTTTATCTGAAGAGAAGGGAAAGCTTAAAATGAATGCTTTCAGGTGAGACGGATTTACTAAGCTCTGAGCTGCCAAGGCCATGGTGATGTCCCTACAGGCACATGTGACTTAGTGGGGAAAATAAAGCAATCAGAGCATTTATTTTCAGTACTGAAAAGGAGGAGGCATGTAGAGGATGGTACTAGAGCAAGTTCATGTGTAAGTCCTTCAACAGATCAAAGAGTAAACAGTGATTTAGCCATAGAAATATATTGTGGTATCAGCCAAATGTCCTAAGTTTGGCTAGGCCTGAATTTCCATGGTGAATATGGAGAACAGAATTCCTACTGCAAATAGCTTAAAGTCTAAGACAGTCAAAAGAGAAAACACCATGAAAGCAGCAAGAGAGAAAAGTTTCCACTTTCTTCTATGTAATTATGGACATCCAAAAGGAATTGTGAAGAAAATTCAGCATTAACAGATGCAGTTAATGTTTTCTGTGACCTGGTTTTCAAAAATTCCCTTGCCCACCAGCTGTCTTGGAGAGTGGTGGGATGAAGAGACGCTCTCTGACATCTGACAGAGAGCATTCTATTGCTTTAGGAAAAAAAAATTGCATCAAGAAATCTTTTAGGAAAAGGTGCAGCCTTTCCACTGCTCATTAGTAGAATTTAACTTTGCATTTGATCTGCATTGATCAGTGAGTGTAATTTTAGTGGTTTGAGGGCATATTTTCTTAAATTATAGTATAATAAAACTTCTGCACTTTGTTAAGTGCAGTCTGTTGTTTTTCTTGTTCCGGATAGTATTTCCTAAAGTCTTCTTTTGTGTTAAAAACCAAACAAAAAAACAAAAACAAAAAAGTCAAAACCAGCAGCAAGCATTAGGATTATTTAAGATTCTATTCAGCTTGACTGGCCTGGCTTTCCAGGAAGGATCAGCTGGTTCATGTTAGCCTGATGCTTAAGTGTGTGTTAGCTATTGATGGCTAAGTTTGGATTTTGTTGACCTGGGTTATTCTTCCCTGTGTATTTGGTTTTGGACTCACGATTTTTCTTAAAGGTTGCTCAGACAAAGATGAAGTCTGTTTCAAAGARACCTCGGAGTAGATGTGAGAATGATTTGGCTGTTGCCATTCTTCTTGTTTCTTAATTCAGCTATGCCTACTCCAACAGTTTAGAGTGTAATTTGCACTTAGCATAGAACCYCCATGCTGTCTGTCATCTGTGTGGCTCTTGGAGGGGATCCCAGGTGCTACAGTGAAGATGATCCTTTGCTTGTTTCCCATCACTCACCTTAAAGATTTTCAACACTCACTGCTGCCTTGTATGAATTTCAAGCCAGGCAAGTTTTAGTCACCTTTTCTGGCACCTGTGAAAATTGGATTGTCTCAAATATTTTGATTTTTTTTTCTGTGGCATTAGTCAGCTTTTTCTTGATGGTAGCTGTACTAATTTGAGCTGAGATAGTCTGGAACTGTTGAGCAGAGAATTTAGAACTTGTGGACAAAATAGATAGTACTGAATTGCTTTTTGTCAAGAGCATGTAGGTATTTTGATGGGGTCAAAGTAAAGAACTGGAACATATTCAAAATTACATGAAGCTGAGTCAACAGAGGTTTAGGCTGTATATCAGCAAAAGGTTTTTCACCCAAAGGGTGGTTGGACACTGGAACAGGCTCCCCAGCGAAGTGATCGCAGCACCAAACCTGACAGAGCTCAGGGAGCATTTGGACAATGCTCTCAGGCACGTGATTTGATTCCTGGGGTGGGCTGAGTTGGACTTGCTGATCCTGATGGGTCCCTTCCAA